TGCCCATTAACAGCTATGCCAACACTATCCGCTCAGCCAGCACTGAACGTGACTCTGGTAAACAGCGCTGAACTTCACTTTTTCGATATTTATATTAAAAAAAACAGCTGAAAAATTTCTCGCAAGCTTTTAGACTTGCAGACTTGCAAGATCTTATTGCACTGGATCACAGTATATGACCTTCTGCGTTGCCCCGAGCAATATCAAGAACCACAGAGCTCTGCAATCTGCTCTTTCCCTTCCGCTGAGGGCAATCCCAGCGTGCTTCATTAGGCACTGTACTGACAGCATTGTCACAACAGAAACTGGCATCCACAGGGACTGCACTTAGAACACTGGCATTTTAAGCTTAGTATGCAAAACAGGTTTGTTAGAAGACGTTTAGAAAAAAAAAACGTTAAAAGAATGTTTGTTTTGAGTGGGAGACAGTTGTGGTAAGCAGGAGGACAATTTGAAAGAGTTTATTTTCAAATTGTAGAAGAGCCAATAGCTATTCTAAATCACTATACAGTACATTAATTAAGAACAAGAATACAGTCCTTCCCAACTTTTCTTGCTTTCAGTTAAGCAAGGAGGCATTGACAATAAATATGATTCTGTGGATAAAATGGGAAAATAACTATTTGTGTGCTATCACAGCTTGAAAAACATTTCACTGTTGAATAAACCTAGCAGGGACCAAAGATCCCGACCTGATGGCAAAGCACTCAGATGACATTGACGTCGATTTGCTAGTACTTGGGTCCCAGCATTCACTGCAGGAAAGCAAAGAAATGTACAAAGAGCTCACTTTGGAGGACACGGGGAACTGAGATGCATTCAAACAAGCAAAAATAATCTGAATTTGATCTTCACCTGTTCACTGATAAGCTTCTTAGTGCCCTTAAAATGTTCTAGTCTGCACTGATGAGTCCCGAGATTGTATGTTAAAAATAAAAGATGAGAGGACAATGGGATGAGGTGATCTTGGAGACAGTGCATGCAGAAAAAGCCAGGGAGAGTGTTTGCTTCATAGAAGTAGGCATTTTTGGGGATTTTAAGACCACATGCAGTCCTGTTAGTGTTCATTCATGTTTGCCTTGCCCGCCCCAGCCCCATCGCCCATCATCAAAAGCATTAGACCAGCACGCGCGGCTTAAATGATCCTTTATTCCTGGGGACACATTTCTGCAAATGATCTCAGAAGGAGAAGAAGGCCCGTCTGAGGACGTCTGTAGTCAGTGAGCCCCCACTGCATAAAGGCGTCATTTAGAGTCATCGAGGGGGGTGATCTCACAGCACACAGAGCTCTACTGTGGCGTCTATGAACAGAGATCCAAGAACCGGAGAGACGGCAGGAGAGCAATCCAAGTTAATGAAGACCCCTCTTGTGGCGGCACTGGTGTCCCCGGTTCATTATAGCTGGTGAGCAGCACACAAAGAGAAAGACAGAAGGAGAGACAAAGAGTGACTGTGCCAGGGGCGAGCGAGGGCATCGGCCCGGAGACTCTCTGGACATTCTCCAGGCTCTGGTGTGCACTGCCTGGCACCTCTCTCCCGGCAGATGGCTTCTGTAAAGCGCTGCCACAGGGAAGCCTCCATAATGCATTTAAAGTGCCTGCCACTTTAAAAAAAACTGCGGATTAGCCCCACCTCGTTAAGCTAACTCAATATTCGGATAATTCAGGCAATGACCGAGTCGAATAGAGATTTCCTGGCTGACTGGACACTTGGACTGCGATTAATGTTTGCTGGTGTGGCTAATGGCCCCCTACTCCCGATCGGTTCCTGGCAGCTCTGTTACTGGCACGTTGGGCTCTGCAATTGCAGCTCACGTGCCAGTGGCACCCATCACTCCGCAGCCCACGCTGTCATCCTGAGCGCTCGACAACACAGGAGCCTCCGCCCTTGCTTAAACAATAAAAACGCAATTAAATGGCGAGCAATACAGAAGCGCGACAGAGGACAGACGCAGCCGATTTTCGGATTCTTAGTGCGAGCAGCATGTGAAAGACCGTCTTAATGCAAGGCAGCTAAATGGGTCAAGCAAAGCGACACACATTGCATC